GGGTTACGGTCGTCCTAAATTAGCTGGTAAGGGTCTATCAAGAAAAGGTAATGTTTTTGCTTGTAAGTGATGATCTAGTTCAGAACGTTGATTAAATATGAACCTATAGGATCCTAGCCGCCTGCACATTAAATGGAAAATTTATAAATAAGTAAAATCGAAGCCTTATCAAGAATATAGTCTAAATCAAGATAGAGAATTCAGATGCAAATCCACCAGTAGCATAGTGGAGGCAAGTGACAATTCGCCATAAGATAATTTTGTACAAAATCCTTCGTCTGAAAGATAAGGTCTCCACTTAAGGGCGAATTAAATTTTTTTACCAAAGCTAGGATCTTGTAAAGCCAAAAATATCTAGTAAACAAATCTAAGCAGAGGTGAAATTGAATAAAAATGGAGGTAAAGTACAAAATAAAAATTATAAGGCAAAAAAGAGATGAAGAGAAGCTGAACTCCGGAGAAGCCTCTAATAAATTCATGCTATTATACCTTTAATCTAGTTTGAAAAAGAAAGTAGAGGGGATTCGCGAGTTTGCCCTCTGCAAACCTAAGAAGGATTTTCTTGGGGTTGCGAAAGTAGAGTTGTGAAGATAAATCCCACAATCGACATAAATCAGTGCTGAGCTTTCTTTTCTCAAACGACAGATATAATCATGCTTTATTAAAATTCACCAAGCAACAAGATAAAAAGGCGACTGAATGCAGTCCTATTGACTTTATATAGCCTTTCTTATCGTATATATTGATAAATTTTCATAAAGAATGGGTTCAAACCCTGAAAAATTCTGTCACATGACAGATCAAAGCTCAGCACATATTCATTCGAGTCGAACAGAAGACAAAACTTGAGAGCAATCTTCCTTCAGGTTACGGTGAGGCCAATTTACGAATCACTTTAGCTCGCTGTTTTAAATGGATGGAAACGAAGCAGGAATAAGAATAGAAGTAAAAGTAGGATGGTGGTAAGAATTAGGACAGCAAGCATGCAATCTCTGAGTGAATAAAAAAAGGCAAAGCCATAGTTAAAAAATGTGATAAATTTGCCAGAAAGAACCTTGTAGCCGATGTCAAGCTGCCGGGTCCGCTCAGCACTTCGGGCAACCAGTTTTTCCCAACGTGTATGAACACTTGTTAATAGATTGCGTACTAGAACGACATCTTTCTTCTGGGCGCCTAGGCGGACATGGGCACCTGCGGCGTCTAGGCGTACCAAATTGGTTCGGTAGGCGGTGATGTTGCGACGGAGTTGGGCGTGTGCCGCTACCTGCTGGACAACACGCGACACAAGCCGACTGACCGGCTGGGCCAGACTCAGCTCCCGCTCACTTTGTGTGAGAAAGTGAATTGTGTCACCTAATTCACAATGTAGATCCTCGACGAGACGACAACTGGCCTCTAGTTCATCACGAGCGAGCTGCGCCCGCTGGACCAGCCCAGTTACAATAACGGTTAAATTGGAAAGCTGGCTGGATAGAGAAGAATGTACGGGACCAGCGCAAGCTTCAAGGAGATCTTGAGAAACAGCATTAAATTCTTCCGTCTGATTATGGATAAAATGAATAATAAAGTAATGCCCATTTTGCGTAAAGTACGACTAATTGCGTGTCCAATAAGCAATAAGATTAAGAATTAAATTCAGATAGTTTCAACACTACATAGTGGTAATAAATATAAACAATCGCTAATGTACCCTATTCACCTCCCTACATTTGGGAATACTCTGTAGCTTTCTTTATTGCATTACCTGCGTTTTCGAACTTGTTACCACTTAAAAAGTGTTCCAAAAGATATCTTCAGGGCGAATTGCTCAAGGAGTGGGAACAATAGGATAAGATTCATTAGTTAATTTCTATTATCCACTGAATCTGTCACGAGTAAAGGCAAGGCGAAATCACGTTGGAAAGTGACATCTAAAGAGCAATTCAAACACTGCATTTTTGTAGTAGCTATCAGCAGAGGTATTATTCGGTTCTAAAACATGAATCCCTAAAGCCTTAGGCCAATCGAGAGCAAGACTATTCTGGGTGTATATGAACTGGTATATATTATTTAAGAAATATTTGATTCGTGCAATTTAGGTAAATAAAGAAAAACAGTCCTCATTTCCTGTTCCAACTAAGTGAAATTGTAGATTGGCGAACGATGGCTTCCTTTTACAGCTGAGACTTCATTAAACCGAAGTCCTTCTAAAGCTTAATAATACTTTTAGTTAACCTACTGAGACGATTAGTAAATAATCCTTTTCAATAATGACATAAATGGTATCAATGCAGCTAATGGATTATGGAGTAAATGATCAGTCCCTAAACATAAAAATCTTATATAGGAACTTGTTGTGGCTGATATAAGTTTTATCTTTAAGACCTTGAATTAAAAAACAAACATGGCGGCGAAGTAAGTTTGGAATTAGATTATAAAATTCTCCAGAGAATAACTAATGCAAATTCATATGAAACTTAATAGGAAAAATACACATGGAGTAAAAACCCTACTGTCATTCTTGAGAGATTTTCAGAAAGTAAGCTATTGAAAAACAGTAAAAAATCAAAATAAATGTGTGAAGCTAAAAAAAACTAGCATCTGAGTTTGGCCAACAGATAATATATTAATTGATAGCATACTAAGATTTAAAAAACTAACTAAAGTAGGAGAAATTGGATATAAAAATTGTAGGCACTTCAACTAGAAACTCCATATACTTCAGTCATTTCTGGACTTCATACAATAAAAGTTCAACCAAATTTGTAGGAAGAAATGCTAGTGATTCATTTTAGCTTCAAAACTAAGTAGATTTAATCAAAACGCCTCTTTTTATCCAAAAGGAAAAAACTGTCCCAAATCCGATGAAAGGTAGTCACCAGACTGGATCTCACTTC